TTACCACAATACACCACTCAAAATATGATTCCAGTGATTTGCAGTCTGTTGCCTTGTGATCTTTGTCATCTTTACTTCATTACTGTCTCAGTACTAGCTGCAAAATATTCAGTAGATCTTTGTGAGTTGGAACATGACTTCAATACTTGCACTTGAGTGTTGTTCTCTTTAGATGCAGAACAGTAGAGTTGGAACAAACAGCATTTTTAACTACTGAAGGTGAATGAAAATGTTCAGCTTACAGCCTGAGATATGATGACTGGGGTCTAATTAGTGCTGACATGGGTTAGCAGAAAAGTGAATAACTTATGAATTCAAATGAAGGTTGGATGAAATTTAGGAAAACTTGCTGCCCAAAAAGTTTGCAATGTTCTACAAGATTCCCAGACTCTGGAAATCATAGGTAGCCAAGACTACTGAACAGAAAAATAAAGAATAAATTTTGCTGAATTGAAAAATGACATGAGGTTGGGGTTTTTTTCCCATTCTGTGATGCCTATATGACAATGACTCGAGGCTGTAAATCACCCTGGGTAGTCTAATTCTTACTTTATATATTGCTAAGGAAACATCTCATCCCATTCTATGTTCCTTTTTGAATTGTATGGAAGGGTTGAAAAGGTCTTAGGAATTTATAGAATAGCAAAGATTCTGCAAAAATAGTATTGATCATTACCTGTGACAAAGAGGGGTTGTTTTTACAAAAGGCTGTATTAGGAACTTGGTGTGCATCCTACTGAAGGCAATAGGAATCTTCTAGCTGAGCAGGAGTAATCCTAAACAGGCCATTGACAAATGTAAAGGTTTAATTTGAGCAGTTGTTCTTACAGCTTTATTTACTTTAGAAAGTATCACTGAGGACAGTGAGTGACAAAACTGATTATTTCAGAACGCAAACTACTGGAGTGAACTCATCTTCAAAACCATGATTTTTAAAAGTAATATTTCCTTAGTAAAGTAATTGCAAGCAAAATGAATAAAACTACACTGCAGAACTGATTTTTAAATTAAGCTTTCATTTGTGTTGCTTTCTCATGGCCATGAATCTGAGTGAAAAAATTCTTTGCTACAGTTGTGTATAAGGCATTTTTATGCATGGGATTTAGAACTTAATCCAACCTTCTGCATTTCCCTAGTGCTTGCTTTGAGGTCACTGCATCTGTAGTGAGGTCACTGCACTGCATTCAATACTCTGTACTCAGTGTGCAGTCTGTAATTTCTTGAGGCATTGACTGTACACATGGCTCACACAGACAGTGTGTGCATCTGTCTTCTAGTTCTAGCGTCTCGTCTGGACCCAAGAGTCAAAAAGTGGACACTGAAGGACCTTAGATATTTAAATCTTTTGATTCAGTCCTTGAGCTTTCAAATGCTGTAAATCACTTCTGATGTTTACAGTGCAATCATTGGAGGAACTTTTTTTGACAAAAGTTATGCAGTTGCATTTCTATCACAGTTGTCCTGTGTGAATGCTCTGAGTTGGTCACAAATACAAGGTAATTGAAATCAGATGTTAATTGGACACTTTCTTAGTGTGCTGACTGGGAGACACTGTAGCTCAGCAAAAATGTGGTAACTTGATTGTCTCAGCCTCTCCCTGTCTCTGTCAATTAAGCTTAATAAGTCCAATCTATTTACATGTCTAAAGCTCACTGATTTCAGAAGGGCAAAGTAGGTAAGTGTTTAATGGTGTTGATTCAAGCATTGGCTTTGCAGTGCTAAGTACAACAACTCCCAGGTATTTTTGTTCATTTGAGTGCTTCTTACTGCTCCAATACTCAGTGACTAATCTAGTTAAAATCAGTACACTATCCCCTCCTGCCTTATCATAAATACCAATCAGATTGTTTAAATGATAGTGTTGGTGACTAGATGTGCCATAAATATTTTTTTCTTAAAAAAAATGCCCAAACCCACCAAACAGAATTCCCCACCCCAAAACTGAAATCTGTTACTTGGTAAAGTTGAAGTGATTGGAATTCAGTCAATGATTAATATCTTGTGTAGTTACTTCTTCATTTTCAGTATCTTCCTGTGTAATAAATGTGTTCAGCTTGTCACAGATCTTATTTTACGTCCCCACCTTGTATCATTTCACATTCTGCTTAAGTACTTGGTCATCTATTACATGACTCATTAGTCTGAGATCTCTACAGAATTAAAGAAAGTTGCAATAAAAATAATATATTGAAGTTCAAATTTCAACTACATCAGCCATGCATGTTCAAAAGCATCTTTCAAAGTCAGCTCAACATATAATAGTGCAAGATTAATGTTCATTAAGCCCCATCTCTAGTCCTTCACAGAGAGTTGGGAACAAACTGAACAAAGCTGCATGTGTTTGTTACCTGCAAAATGAAACTTGTGGAAAGATCAAACCATAATTGATTAGTGTGACTTCATGACGTTTTCCTGTCTGGCATTTAATTCCTGGTCACTAGGCAAAGGCAGTTTTGCCAAATAAAGATAATGAAAAATAGAAGTTGATGAAAGACTTAAATCATAACAATCTAGGACTGTCCTCAAACCTCCCTGTACGGCCAACGAAGTAGAAAAATAGGTACTAGTTCAGAAAAGTTAAAACACCATTTGAAACAACTTTCATTCAGAAAAGTTAATAAGCAAGAGAATTTGAATTTCCATCTATTAACATACTTCTGAGGATGTTACCAAACAGGATTAAGTTTCTTAAGTGTTGCACAGTAGGTATTTCTTATCATTTTTGCAAATGGATAAACTCAGTCCTCTAGATAAGCTCTTTTTCAGAGTCACCGGCAGCCAGTAGCAAAAATTAGAGTACAAATTTTAAGACGTAACTAACCAAGGTCAGACAGCCCCTAAATGGAGATCTTTTTTAGATATTACCTTTCTATCAAGTAAGAGGGAAACTTATTTTATAGTTATAATGGGAAAAAAAGAATACTCAGTACAAAAATAAGAAGGCAAATTGAGTAAAAAAGCTAAAAATGTTTCTATATCAGATAAAAAAATACTTGTCTGGTCATGGAGCAATGCAAGTGTTTATATTTAATCATATCTTAGCAATTACTCTGGTTTTGTCTGCATTATCAGGTACATTATCATTACACTATAAATATCTCAGAGGTAAGAAATTAGAAGCAATTCATTTATTTCTGTGGTCAAATACTATATAACATGTGTCTGTGTGTCCAAGGATTTTTAAACATAGTTAAGAAATATTTGTCAAAATTTCCTGCCTCCTGGAAAAAATTGTTTTGTGTACATTATTTGAATGTTATTTCCATAGAAATGTGACATCTGACTTGACAATTATTCCAAGAACAAGTTAAATAAGTGACCCTAAAGAATCTCTAAAACTGTATTTAAGTATGTGAGGCACTTAGGTTTCTTCATAGATCTACAGGTACCAGGCAAATACTTCCTACTACTTTCCAAGGTTATTCAACCTCTCATAGTTTAGAGGAAAACAAGGACAAGTACCTACAAGGCTGTTATGATAATACACTGATCACACTGTGCTGGTGATGAGAGGTTCTGTACAAAAGGGGCATGTGACAATCCCCACTTCCTCAAGATTAAAATACGAAAAATGACATATCTGACCATTTCAAACTGATATAATTTAGAGTAGCTGCATAAATCCAAAGCAGCTGGGAGTCATTACCTGAATTTGCCAATATAGGAGTCATTGTCTGCTGACAGTTTATTTTTTAGTAATTGCTGGCTGCCCCAGAACTCCTGACTTGTACTTTTATTTCTCTTAATTTCCTTATGACCAGAACCTTCTGTTAAGGAAGTCAGCTATACATAGGTAAATAGCATATCACAAATTTTCCTCACTATATTTCCCCAATAAGAAAATAAGATGCAACAACTACTTGTATTGTAATTGGCTATAATCAATTGTAATAAGCAATAAAACATTGATCACTTTCACAGAATCACACTTTCCTGATAAAGGATCTGAAATGCTTTGTCTTCTACTATTTTTAGAATTGATTCACTACGTTAATTAGCTGCCTGAAGATTAACATTTATTTGTACTTACCTCACACTTACCTTCTATCATTAAAGACATGTTAAAGTCACTCTATAATTACAATGTGTCTCTTGCTAAGCCTTAGAACAGGATTATTTGCTTGTCTTAGAGGTATTTCTGCCTGGATATACATTCTAATTTCCTCCTGATATAGGGCCTTCCTTTATTAGCTCACGAAAAATAATCAAAGCCCTTCCTTAGAGCCAGTGCTGAGGTGGAGCAGTGTGCTGTGGGGGAAGCAAGCTAACAGCCCACGCAGGGCTCTGCCTTGGGAGCTGCTCAGTACCCTTTGTTCCAGGGATTTCAGTGGGAGTTGAGGGTGATCAGCTACTTTAGAGCACCAAATCCAGAGACTTTATCACAGTTCTAATGCACACCGCAAGGGGATTAATTGTGGCTTTGGTGGGGATTCAAGGCTTCACATGCATTTTGCCTGCGACAATACTGGATGTACTCTGACAGGGAGGCTGCAGCAAAATGCTTATTTCATGTGCAGCAGGGGAGATGCTCATCTTGTGCAAAATGTGTTTAATAAGGAAGGACAAACTAGAGTTCCAAATAAACTTGATTTTGCTGGCTGTCTGATCTGAACAGCCATCACATAATGTGTATGAGTAGCTCTGCTAATATTACAAGGCTCACCTGAATGCATAAAATCTAAAAAAATGGACTTTGAAACCATGCAATTTGCTTAAAAATGAAATATAATTAAATGCTGCCACCTCGCAATTGAAAGGCAATAAAAGAGGAGTTTTATCACACAGGGCAAAAGTATTCAGAGCCTGCTGCCCCTGCTGCTTCCTCATGAAGGACCTTATAGATGTGAGCAACTTTTATGAAATTATTTTGGTTGCTAATTGTTGGTTAAATCATTGCCACAGACCCATCTTTGTACATCCAGTTGAATCTGAGTTCCTAAATGATGGAAGGAAATGACAGATGACCAACACTAAGTACTTCAGATATGATCTCTTCTTACCTCTTGGGCTGTTGAGAGAGGCCTCGGATGCTTTTCCACCATCCCCACAGTGACTCTGGTCAAATGGAAGGCACTGATCACCTGTTCCTGCCACCACATCTGCATTTTTGGCCAGATCCTTTGTTTCAGTGAGAGATTTTGCTTTGTAGACCTTCCTGGTGTTGGTATCTGATAAATAAAGGGATTCTGACACTGGATCAATGGCCAAGTAATATTTATGTGCAGGGCTTGTACTAAAAGAGAAGAAAAGATCATCAAAGTCAAGTGGTTTTTCTTGTACATCTCTGTGGCAGCATAACGTTTGTATTCTGCTTGTCTAAAGACATCTGCTCTGTGATTTGGAGAGGACAGAGACATAAGTGAGAGTAGCTTTAATGTAGCTCATGTAAAGCACCACTAATGAGAAGAAGGAACTTGTCCTGGCTGCAGAGCCTGACCAGTCAGCTATGGGTCAGTGATCTGGTGCAGAGACTGGTATTGGGGCAATTAGACTGTCCATTAGTACCAAACCATTCAGGATGAAGCTAACTGGAGTGACTTCATCTTAGTTATTACTATCAAAAGGAAGGTCATTTTTCTATATCTGATAAGTCCTAGTACCCTTGGCAGTGACAACAAATCCATGAGTTGCAGTAAAGTGAATCACAGACTGTTCTGCATGGGCACAAATACCCACTCTTGGTTATTTTTATCTGTTTCTAAACCTTAGGAAATATGAAGGTGTGAAATATGGTGCCTTAATTCATGCCGACTGTATTGTCAGGAGGAAGGCAGAAGGCCAAGTACTGTCAGTGCAACTAGGCATGAATTAATGCACCATAATTCATGTGCTGTCGGTGTCTTATTGAGATTATAAAATGTTATTAAAAAAAATATTTACATATGTTAATTAAATGGTGAGGGTCATAAATTCTAATTGGAGAACTGAGCTGCATCTTATTATCCAATAAGACTTCTGTTTCTTTTTCAGTGCAAAGTTAATTTCCAGTTTGAGGGAATTGTCTAAGTACATGGCATACCACCCTAGTGTCCTGAGCCTGCTGAGCCTGCAGCAGAGCCTAACTGAAAATCCAGGTAGGTGGAGGTACTTTTAATCACACAGTTGCTTACTGAAATGGTGGGAGATAGGCACAGGCTGAACATTTAGGTGCTCAGACACTATTTTCACATTGTCATATTTCTCTGATGGGGAGGAGGAGATTTTGATTTCTGACAAGTGGCTGGGCTCTACATGGGACTCTCCTGCTATGTAGATTAAATAGATTGTCAAAAATATTTTTTTTATTAAGAGATCTTTTATTAACATTGGTACAATTAAAACTAACGCTTAAGATTGCTGCAAAGAAGTTGTGAAATGAGTTTCTCCTCTCATCTTTGCCAGTTCTGTTTGTGGTGGGTTTGACAACACTTGGTGATATTCCCACAGCTGGGGAACAGATGTGAAACCCAGTCCAAGGAACCACAGGGAATAAGAAGGCAGTGGTATGATGAAAGATGAGTAAGAGGATGAGCTAAAAGCAATTAATGCCAAAGTACATATCACCAGTATTATAAAATTTTGTTTGTTGAAAACATTGAGAATCATTTATGCTCTCTGGAGTGGGGTCAGGACAGACTGGCAGACAAAGGACGAACTTTAAATAACACTCCTTCATGAAAAAAGTTGCAAGGAGAATTCTAGATTTAAAAAAAGCCATGTTCAGCATGCAGAAACTGCAGAGAACCAGGGGTCACTATGTACTCTCCTTGTAGACACATTTTCTGTCATCCTTGTCATTACATTTAATAGACCAGCTGTTAGAAAACTCTGCATGTTTATGCTAAAAGCCTTGCATACTAAAATATTTAAATTTAAAGAGTATTAGTAAAAAACAGAGTAGAAAAAAACTTGCTATTTTTGCAGGAGTTTGTAATCAGATCTAAATCTGAGTTGATTTAAATTAGCCTATTAAAAACTATATCAAGTAGTCTAGGATTTACAGTGACTCTTTCCAGAAGAAGTTATTACTACTCTGTACTTTTTTTCCTATAACCTCAACGACTTGTTGCCAATTTTACCAGTTATTAAACAGCTTTTTTATATCTTATTAAAATTCTGATGACAACAAAAACAAATGGGACAAGTTGTTTTTAAACAGTCAAAAATAATATCAGTGGTAGTCTCTGTTTACTGGTCTCCAAACGCACCCTTTTTACACAGTATTTTCTTTTACCTGGTAAAATAAACCCCTTTTCCCCTGCTCTTTTGAAGACTGAAAGTTGTGTAGAGAAGCTGGATTTTGCAGCCTTTTCCTGCCTGCAGTCATGAGCCTCTGACATATTTGAGATGTTGTTTCTACATGTTTCTTTGAGCAGCCTAGAAATTTCCACCATGACTATGACCATCGCAGCCTCAAGAGAATGGCATACAGTAGGACTGTTGAGTACTCCCCTATAAACTCAAAAACTACATTAAATTCAGGTGATTTCCTCCAGTTTTCTATAAATTTCACTTGGACAATACTGACAGAGACAATTATAATTAATAGGACTGTGGTACTTAAGCATCGTCACGACTTGATTTAATTAAGGTTTAAGCTCATCTCAAGAAACTGTTACTAGTGAACAGGTATTTAAAAACATCTGCTTTACAAAAGAAATCTCTAAATGTAAAAGCTGATTCATGTTCTGAAAGCATTATAAAGTAAATAAGTTCATTTTGCTTTTCTTGTTTTTCCTTTAGTTTACAAAGATACTGGTCAGTTTAAAGCAAATGGAAATAACCGATTGGTTAAAAAATAGAACCTTGCACTACTCACCTAGGAATTATTCTTTCTTTCTTGTTTTTTTTTTTAATACATGAGATGTGACATAATCTGGTAAATAATCTGTATTATTCAATAGCATTCTTGTGGCTCAAACCAGCAATTCCAGCCTGTACTCTCATCTTGCACAGCTCAGTCCACACTATGCTTCCTACTATGCCATGAAGCTATTGGCTTACATTCTACTAGTGCTGGTTTATTTATCTCATTTAACTACTGGAATGCTAAGAAGTTTGTTTCTAAGGAGACAGAGCACTTTGCTGTCTCTTTCTAGCATGCAACATCACTTCTGCAGCTGGATTGTTGTAACCAACTCCCTCACCGTCTGTTGCAGAAAGCCTAATGTGTAACATTTGTTCCTTTAAAGAAATCCCTACATTGCAATGCTAAAATGCCAGCTGGTAAGGTGGAAAGCCACTTGCTTTGTCTTCAGCTGGAGCAGCAAGGACTGAGCTGTGACACAGCATCCTCAGTTCTGGACTCTACTGTGCACACTCTCTAACTGGCAGATTTTAGAGCTCGTAGTACCCTAGAACTGCTAAAGCACAGTCCTCCTGTGTGTCTCTGAAGCCTTTTCAACTATTTCTTTGTTGCTGAAACTCCAGTTTCCTTGGTTGGCTATATGTGTTATCATTCAAACACCATGTGAAATGAGTATGACAGCTGTGAAATGCACTCCCAGCGTTCAGGCTTAAACCTCTCCATCTCTGGTTTTTAGAGGGAGAAACTTCATTCCTTCAAAGGGAAGAAATTGACCCTGCTGTAGTATAAACAAAGGTGAATTTGATTAACATTTGTACTTAGTAACATTTACATTTATTAGATTCAGAGTGTTTCTCTATATCCAGACTTCTAAAAGGACTTTTGTAAGACTGTTTCCTTGAACATGGTTCACATATCACTGTTACTGTATTTTACTTACCTGTGTCTTGTGTCTCTATTCCTAGAAAGACAGATAGGTTCAGATTTAAAAAAGAAAAAGAAAAAAGAAGCGTTAGTCTTTGACAGAATTGTACTCTTTGCCTGACTGCTCAGAGAGCTGTATCCCACTAACCATTGTTTATCCTGTTACTTGGTATTATTTCTTTCTCTCAAACTGTTTCCTTTCCACCGCCTGCACATTGCCAAGTTAAATCTGAACAATCAACACAGAGCATCATCACCAGCAGCGTTAGCTAGGTGGAGATCCATGGGTGTCAAGAAAGAGAAATTTCATGTATTAATGTCCAAACATCTTTCCTGCCTTCCCCTCTGGTCCTCAAAGGGAATGGGAAGCTGGAGTCTTAATTACAGAGGAGTCATTAATGGCAGCACAGGCTTAGCCTGCGGCACATCAGACAGCAGTGCCAGGTTTGCCCTTTGCTTAAACTCAGCCACATCCTCTGCTACATGAGGAACAATATAATTGTATTAATTTTAAACATGGCAAGTCTATCTTCAGGCCCAGTGCTGTGACTTGACACAATACTCTGCATGTTTGCTGTTGAATTATGGAGTTTTCTTCAAAAATATACTTCATGCAACATTTTAATTTCTGGAGAAAATCTATGACAAACCACAGGACGAAAAATCATCTCTATTAATTCTGCAGTTTGCATTAATTCATTACACAAGACCTGTTCTAAAGGCTACTTAAGATGTCCTTTTTAACCAATGACTTTAATGTAAACACAAGTTGATGACAGTTGATGAGACACATGGTCACAAGGCAAATAGATATAGCTGCACAAATCCCAAGGGATAAAAGCTCACCATAGTTTTCATAGGCATATAACAACCAGGATTATGTACACTAGTTGGAGAAAGCTAATTATTTTTTTACCTTAATTCTAATATGCCAATCGAGTTCCCAGAGGGAAAGATCCGTCTGACGTAATTGAAGTCCCCAATATACACACTGCCATCAGGCCCAGAAGCAAGTGCAACTGGGGCAAAGAGTTTGCTGTTGAGTGCAAGGCCATTGCAGTTGGAGCAAGAGACACTTCTCTGGTGTCCATTGCCCATCACAGTGGAGATGACTGGTGGCTGCTGGGAAATGAACATGTTTTCCCCATTTCCTTTGTGTACAATTCCTATGGAGAGGGGAGGGAAGAAAACAGTGACAAAACCCAACAAATGTATAGCATTTAAACTATTCTGCAGTTTTGGATTACAAAATTCTCTAGAAAACCAGATTACCAAAATAGCAACAAACATCTGAGCTTTTAAAAACTGTCATGGGGTTCCAGTAATCTCTTCCAATTTTGTTCATTCCAAGCTTCACTGTCACCATTTTGTTCATTAGTGGCTAGTGGCTATTTTAAAACCCAACATCATGAGGAGAACTCATGGTTGGTTAATGCTCTAACAAATTGACTGTTAATTGCAGTGCTATCTGATTTCTTGGGGATTACTACTTTAATATTCATTTTATTCATAAATTTTTATTAGGTAGCAAAGGAATTTCTTAGGCAGTTTGAATATTTAATTAAAGGAGATTAATAGCAGGACTACTATGCATTTTTCACAAAAGAGCACCGAGTGGCAGTACAAAATCAATATTCAAATTTAACTGCAAGTCCTTCATGGTATGTGAAAATGGTGCCAAGAGCAGTAAAGCCAAGTTAAGAGTCAAGGA